GTTTGATCATATTTTCTTATGACTTGCCTAATAACATTCTCCCATTGCTATCGATTTGCTCACAGAAGATTTCTTTTGCATGTCAAAGTTCCCTTACCTTTTTATCTGAACACTTTCAGCGCATAGATTCAATATGCTTCTCTTTAGCTGTGCACCAACCGTCTCCCTTTTTTTGTTAGAAAAGACCGTTTGGGGTCATGACTAATGGAGCAGCTCATAACTGCATTAACCAAACTAATGATTTTTTGCAGTAAATTGGATCTGCCTGCGTACTTTTATTATTCCTCGTTTTAAACTGTTTTTTCCTCACTACCAATAAATTGAGAAATTTTGAGCCCTTCCGCAAAGACCAACTAGGGACTAGCCTGCAAAACACGGGACCACATAGCGCTCGTACCTCTCCCCGTTAGCTCAGCAGTGTGCGGCATTTGCGCTGCGCTATGCAATACTTACGCAAGTGCCAGCAGTATGCGCCCTCATGGTGATCATGATCATGATGGGGGCGATGCACACTTTTACAAAGGTTACAAGCGCATGCTAATAGACATCGAAGCTTGCATGTCGATTTACCCTGAAGCGTTGCCACTGTTCTGTCTGCCGCATATTTGCCTTCCTTGGTACTCCACTCAAAGAGACTTGTATAGCGCAGTAGCAGTGTGTGCCGTCGACGATTACCGAATCAAGTGGGCACAAGTTTTGCGCGACCAAGGCGTGGTCATGAGCCGCATGTACTTCAGTCGGACACGTCATAACCGCACTTTTTTTATATTACGACATGTTTCGGGGGTTCTGCTACGGGGCCCTGGTCCCTCTTATGCTGTTGCATACTATATGAGGACAAGCATTTAGAGGCAACGCTTTGCCTCGTTTTGTTTCTGTCACTTATTCGTTTGTTGTCCACATTTTAATATAGTCTCTAACCTTTCAGGTTTTTTTTACATCTAATCACTTACTTACTTGCCTGCATTTTTTTACACAGATAAAGACGGAAACGCATATGTTAAGAGCATTTGTATATGACTTTCAAGATTTTAATGAGGGCGGAAAAATTCTTTTTTTGAGAACATAAAACTAATTGATTTTTTCATAGTACACTAGCTGGCTTACCCGGCTCCGCCTGACCCTGTCAAAAACGATAAAGGTTCCATTTCTATCCCTGTACACCTTAACCTGTGCCCACTTCTACATTCCCTATTCCTGCTGCGTGAGTAATCAGTATGCTCACCTACCTTTCTCACCAACCCCCCAGCCCCGTAGCTCAAACTTTGCACAAAAAACAATAAAATCGATAAAAGTAAGGATAATTCTAAAAACTGGTGGCGTTATTCGGCTATCCGGGCCCCAAAATGTTTTTGTAACGGATCTTGCTCAAACTCGGTATATGGGAGTTATTTGAGCCGCTGATGACAATATCATAGTCATCGCGTGGCAGCGGGTGAAAATCATAAACCTGCCTGAAACCTTGGCAGGGAATTACCTAAAGTGCTGTTCAAAGAATATCGTGCTCAATCCCCGCGATAAAGGCAATTCGTGTGGTATAAAAGTTTCCCACAACCGTAATGCTTTCCTTATAGGACCACTGCCGCGCGCGATACATCCTTCGGCGGCTTTTGCCTAAGCAGAAATAGGGGGAGGGAGATTTGTCGCGTGCGATACACCCTCCGGCGGCTTTTGCCTAAGCAAATCAGGGGAGGGAAATTTGCCGCGTGCGTTACACGTTGGGACAGGTTATCAGGATGGCGCTTAAGACCGCCATGCAAAACGACCGTTTCCCTATTTCATGAATATCTGGGATCTAAATTGGCCCTGTCCATTCAAATCCTGCAACTCACCATAACTTCACTAATGCGTTATGACAGCGAGCAAGTTTCATATTCATAAGCAGTATACTTGTGAACCGTTACAGGTAAGGTTTGAGCAAATCTGGAACTTCGACCCATCTACACCCACCGTAACCCAAGAAAATGCACCATTCTGCGAAATCAACATGATATTTATGTTCAGCGCGCTACCCTAAACGAAGTTTAAAGCAAATCTATGTTTTCGATCCCATACCATATAACCACCATAATTCTATGAAAAGGTCCCAGTACGCAGAGAGAGTATGAAATTCGTAATCAGCATGTCGAATAAGTTCTCTGGACCGAACTCCGGCCGAATTCATGATTTTGACTTCCTACCGTACGTACACCTATCGTAACCACATGGGGACACTTTTTGCGACGCAAGTGTGATATCTGTAATCAGCATGTAAGATAACCCTTATACACGAATCTGAGCAAGCTCTACGACAAAAAAATTTTGGGGCCCGGTTAGCCGAATAGCGCCAAACTAATATCGAACTCGTAATCAGCATGCTTGGTTCCCCCCACCCCCTGTTCAAACTCCCAGCCCCGTAGTTCAAACTTTGCAAAAAAATCGATAAAATCGATAAAAGTAACCGATAATCCTGAAAACTAATATTGTATTCGGAATCCCCATGCTCGATTACCCCCCTGTGCCAACTCCCAGCCCCGTAGGTGAACTCAGCAAAAAAATCGATAAAAATCGATAAAATCGATATCGATCTATGATGAAAAGTAGCCTATGACACCCGCCGGGGCCCGAAGTGTATGTGTGCCAAGTTTGGTCCGGATCGGTTCAGAAATGGAATTTTCTATTCGGAACATACGTACAGACAGACAGACAGACAGACATACAGACAAACAGACATTCAGCTTTATATATAAGATGCGCAATCGACAAAACTTGTGATTTATTGCATCAAAATTCTATTTCATTGCATGAACAAAAGTTAACCAAAAAGCTACTTTTGTACGTAGCTGAATTCCTTAGGAGATTCCAACTAACGACGAAAATATCATTGCTTCAGATGTGGTCGCTCAACTGAGCCACGAAGGCACCGAGGAGAAGAGAGCACCAGGAAATGCAATTACAGGGGAAAGTGCGTAAGGAGCTAGCACGAAGGCTGATACAGGTACCGGCGGAAGTATGAGAGGCGAAAGCACGAGTAGGGACAAGATCAAAGGAGACATTAGGACCATGATGAAGGGCGAGAGACAGAACAGAGAGAGGACCAGAGGCGTGAGAACCACAGGTAATAAGATGAACGGTGTTGAAACAAATGGAGACAGAACGAAGGGAACTAAAGCTCCTGGGGAAAGAATCAAAGGATCCAGTGCTAACGGCGATAAAACAGCTGTCGATAGCAGAATCGGAGATAACACGACAGGAAAGAGTAAACGAGGTGAAATGATCACAGGTAGGAATGCCCACGGTGAGAGGATGACAGAACCGAAGATAGCTGGTGATTGACTGGCACCATAAGCACCAGAGAGAAGATGGGCGCCTGCGAAGCCGTAACTGGGTCACGAAGCGAAGTAAGTACCAAAGGCGAGTACGATGTCGTTCTTCCGTTACGCTTTGAACACGAGACTCTCCTGTGCTAAACCCCTGATTGTGCCCCTACAGCTCGCGGAACTTCGGAGGAGAGTACGTCCTTCAATCTCGAGTAGGTGGATGAGTCGTTAAAAGGAGACTTTGGGCCTTCCAACTGTTGTTCGTCCATCACAGCGTATTCAGAATTCATATCTAGCGTCTGTGACAAAAAAGTTGATCAAAAACGCATTGGCGGTTTTGTAGTCACTTCATAAAGTCAGCGCTCATGCTTTTATTTCTTATTTATTGGTCACACACTTGGTGTAAACAGATGGAAAACCAAGTTATTGCAGGACCACCTGTACCAGTCCGCAAAAATTGGTGCCCCAATAAAATAGAGTACAGAATCCAGATCTCTCGATATACCTGGCATGAGCCAGACAGTCGCACACATATCAAACCTACATAATATGTGCGAACTATTTGTTTCTGTGCAACTGAATGGCATTGGGAACTGACACCAATCATTTTGTTATTGGAGCGGTCTGAGCAAGGGTGTTAGCTGTGTTAGGCATCCACCGACCTAACCTTTAAAAACGGCTGGAGAAACATGCTGAGGGATTTCTAGGAGATCACACGAAGCAATGAAACTCGGTTTGTATGGCAATGTCTGTCATCGGTTAAAGGCAGTGTCTCACCAAAATTGAGGTCGCGCAGATTTTCACATATTCTATTATAGGGGCCTCTAAATAGGCCACTGCAACAAGCCCCACTCAATTTGACCACCCTCCACGCTGAGAAAAATTCGTTCAAAGTGGTACGCGGAGAGCGACTTGGTACGCGCGGACGACTCCTCCGGTCTCCTCCCGTACGCGTTTGAACATGTTCCTTCACTTTGGCATTTACCTCCTTTGTGTTGCTGCCACTGTGGCTGAAGCTGAAGTTGGAAGGTACAACTCGTCCACGTTGCTTCCGCGGGGCCTCCAGGAAACGGGGTTTTTGGGAACTTCGTGCGATTTTAGGCCCACACAGTGCTAGACAGGGTCCGACAGGCTTACAAAATGCAAAAAACTCGGCAACTAAATTTTGGTGAGACACTGCCTTTAACACAGATATTAGAGTGAATTTTCATAAGGTAGATAGAAAAAGAATTACAGATACCTAGAGTAGCAGGATATGAAGCATTCCTTCTCAGATCCCCTTCATCTCCACCGGGGGATGTACTACTTTGGGTAGACAAAATCAAAGGCCAGAGAGGCGGAGCTTGCAATTGAAATGTTGCGCCCCAAGTTGATTCCAAAGCGAGATTTGCCCGAAGTGTCAGTTGACGTTGCCGAGAGAGGTCGCGCTACCTCCTACAGACATATTCTGTTGTCAAGCGACTATATCCCTCCAATTTTGAAGCTAAACAATGCTAACGACCTCTTAGCTTCATTGGAAGATGGACTTTTGTTGGTTCTTTGGATAAGGTTTCCTATGTAATGCAGAATCTTATCACGAGTAAATTCGAAGTAAGATTGAGCAAAGATGTCTTCGCTGAAAGCGACAGTGAACAGTTGCGACGAAAGCGTCAACGCGTTTAAGTGGAACCAAGGCTTACATATCAAAATAAATGAAGGTACCTGCTGCTTCGAGAGCGACCTCTGCAGCTCCTCAAAAACGTCGATTTTTCTCTTCTCACCAGGACCGTACATTTCAGTCACATTCTCTTTGGTAAAGTATAGAGGTTGGCCTTCGTCATTGCGGAATTGTTCGTCCAACTGTCTCCTTTCGGCCGCTGCATTAGCATCCTGTTTGTTTGTTTTAACTCGCGTAGTTAGTGGCAGTAACACAAGTGATACCTTCATTTTTGAAAGAGCATCGGAAACTCCTGAAGCTTCAATAACAAAGTTTAACCATTCCTCATGTCCTTGTTCGTCGAAAAGTTTGAAAGCCTTCGCCAAACTCAGCTCATCTTCAATACCTTTGCCTTCATTGTGCAAGGAAAAGAGCGAAGGAGAAAGCAAGTTGACCTGATGAATGATAGTTTTCAAATGCACTAAACGTTGAACATTGATTTCTCTGTCAAATTTCTTACAACATCATCTTCTGTTCCTTCGGGAACAAGCGAAAGTAGCCGCGGCGAGATCAACTTCACATTTTGTTTGTCGAAATTGGAAACATTCCGCCCAGTCATCATCATTCCCAATTTCAAGCCTAAAGTTTAAGAGAGTCTTTTGAATACGCATTTGATACTTGCCTACACACATAGTATCACCAAGCAAAGTGCGAGCTTCTATTTCTTCTTGAGTTAATAACAATTTTTTAGGTTGAAAACTAAGTTTTGCAACCTCTTCAATAAATTTCCTCTCTTTCAATACGACGCACTCAATTTTTCCTGCTATAACCCATATAGGTGACGATACTCGAATTGCATGGTAAGGCTTTTTTGTGGGATTTTAAGACCATGGCATGAGCTCTCATCCTAAAAAGAAAAGAGGTTTTAAATCAATAAATTAGTATGATATCTCTGTTCCGTAGTTTGAATTAAGTGCAGTGTCCCACAGTGCAAATTTCGATAAATTTTGAGGTTCCAAATCCTTACTCTTGACCGTTCTTTCCCAGAAATGCGTAAAGTTCAACTTTGTGAGAGCGTCTTGTGCCTTTACGTTTTTTGAGTCGAAAAACTGAATGCACAATTGGAACAAAGTCATCCAAGACTGCTCAAATGGTCAGGTGTTCATTATCACAGCACTCCATTTAATGAATACCTTCTGTATAATACCCCTATTTTCAATAGTGCTCTATTTGAGCGCAGGAAATATCGTAATTACTGTTTTTACATAGATTCTGCGTTCATTTTTTGTTCTAAAAGATTCATAACTCGGCGCCCAGGGGCGCTTGGCAGCTAGTGAAAACAGATTCCGAATAAGCGTTTAATGCTCTTCAAAGTGGTAAAGGAATCATTTGGAAAGGCCACTTCGACCAAAGACGCTTCCCTCGTCAGACAATTCACAGGAACTTCCGCAGGACAAGCCAAATTTGCAGAAGTTTCGCAAGATTTTGTTCACTATTGCAAAAATGAAAACGTTGAAAATCGGAACTTCCGCAGAACCTTCTTCAAAATCCTGCGGAAATTCCGAAAAATGGTAGAGGTTCGCAGCACTTTGGCCTGCCAGAACTTCCGCAGGACTTTGAATGTGTTGTCTCGTGATGTTGTCTCGCCAACAACTAGAGTGCGTTATCGGATATGTCAGCCGTAGCCGTAGATGATATTAAGTGGGTCTCACAGTAATATAGTGAGGTTCAAATCTCGCTTCAGTGTTCTCTTTTGCTGTTGTGGTTGGCATTCTTCGGAACTTCCGCAGGACCTCATTTCGGAACTTCCGCAGCACGTTTACGGAACTTCCACAGGTGACCTGGCGGAGCTTCCGCAAGCGCTTTACGGAAGTTCCGGTCATTTGTCTGAGTAGTTTAAGAGCGACTTCGTTTTTGCATAAAAGAGTATAAATCTTGAAAATCGCAAATTTCCAGAGAATGATTGGAACTTTCTTAGTTCGCTTTGAATTATCAAAAGCGAAAGTTTATGACACATAACGATCTAATAATGCCATGAGTGCGCTATATTGAAAGAGAGTAAAATCATGAAAGAAGTTGCAAAACTTAGATTCCAACCTAATAACTTCAACAAGAAAGTAGTTTCAAAGGCCGTGGCCGTTCGATATGCATCTTTAATATTCTCATTTTGAGCACTCTTTGAGTATACGGACGCTGCCATGTATACGCTGCTGCATAACGAAGGCGCAATATCTTTGGACGCGAACGCGGCTTTATTAGCCGCAGATTTTTTTTTCGCGGGATTCAGCGCTCAGACACTCGCACCGGCCGTTCCACTGTACAGAAACCGAGAAGCGCAAGCGATAATACAAAAATAATTTCAAACATCGCTTGAGCCTGCTAAGTAATACCAAGCTTGTCTTTACTTGGTCTCCCTTACTGCCGTTGTCAGTTACTTTTTAATTACTGCCGTTTTTCACTTGATTGCGTGATGTGTAAGCCTGGTATTGGAGGGATTATGAACATGTTTTAGGATCACTAATTATTAAACTATGGGACCGAGTATGTAGGTTGATCTAGTCCATTTTTGCCATAATTCTGCTCTCTTTTTCAGATCTGAGCAAACTCCATGATGTTAATGATCCCTTCTTTCTACTGTCCTGCTCTTTTTCATTTTGGCGAGGAAGAGAACATCAACGGCAATATGATGGTGTTTGTTTCTTGCTCTTCTCATGGAACCGCAGTGATTGATTGACTGCTGTCAGTTTAACATTGTTATTCGTGAAATCGAGTATGGCTTAATGGATGCTCCTTTGTATACCACCATTACTTCAATTTCTGGACTCCTGCTTTGCTGAGTATTGTGAATGTTATTTAGATATCGTTTATCTGCCGAGTACTATGTTGACAGCATTCACGGGTTCGTATCTGGTTTGCTGCTAATCTGATGGTCTCGGCTGTTGAGCCACCCCAAAAGATGTAAATTTTCTTGTCTATCATTTGGAATTAGCTTTGCAGTGTTTTTCAAAGGCTGACTGATACAGTCATCTATTCTAACAGTCTACCGTAAATGGATGCTTTATGTTTTTGACTGTTCTGCTGACAGACCGTAGCTTTATCCATAGCATGTAAGTTCTGGTGTCAGTTAAAAAATCGTTTATTTTAGTTTATTTTTGTTTCATTTACAGTTTATCGAATACAGCATTATCGCTTATATGAGGCACTCGAAAGACCATAAAGAAAACTCTTAACTTACCGACGCAATCGGAATGGTTGTCCAACGATATATGAACTTGTTGCAAATGATCTTGAAAAAAGTTACTAACTTTGTAGTCAAACGTGTTTCTCTTGAATTTGCATGCAAAATTCTTTGTCATGTTTCTTCGCATTGCGTTGTGGTTCTAATAAATATCTTGATCTAAATTCGTACTTCCCTGGATTGAATTTACAGTGCTGAACAGAAGCTAGAATGTAGAAAAAGAAATGTCATGGCCCAGTACAATTTCGTTGCACCAACTGACGCATACCGACCGGCGGCCGTACGGGCACCGACTGGCGGCCGTTCGAGTACCGGCTGGTGGCCGGCTGGCAACCGTTACGGCCGAAATGTCGGCGACGGAACAGCCGGTCGTGGAACGAACGCCTGCCGAGTCCGAGTGTCTGAGTGGTGAGGATGCGCACGAACCTTCGCGCCCGCTCAAGTAATACCACTTCCGCGCCTTCGTCATGCAGTAGCCTTTGAGTCAGTAGCGCAGTGTAGTGGTTAGCGTGCTGGCATTAGAGTCAAGATATCAAAGAACCAATCTGATATGTGGATAGCGGTGAAGAGCGAACCCTTTTTGTAATTTGAGTGTGAGTTTATATGCACTTGAAATCGTCAGATACTTTTACAGTAATGCTGACATATTTGACCTTAAAAAAGAGAAATTCTTAGCAGAACACATTTCGTAAAAAGCTGAACCTTTATTTGACTTCTTTGCAAACCACTAACCACTTGGCTCTAATGCCAGCACTCTACCCATTACTTTACTGTACCAATAACGTATATAGCAGCGTCCGTATACAGTAGACAGCAATACCTTCACGAACAAGCTTCACAGGCTCCTGCATCATCTTGTCCTCTTTATTCAACGTTTGCTCTTGCTTCTTCGCTTTCCGCATGAGCGTCTCCATCTCTGCATCCTCTTTATCGTCACCAAACACATCAAGTTTCTGAAAATAAAAAACAAGTTTATTCCTCGTGAAACAACGAGCAGAATTACCTACTTTGATCATCGCCTTATTCAAACCCTCATCACGAAGTGCATTGTTGAAAAGCTCGAATCGTTGCTCCAACATTTTTTTCACCTTTTGCTTCTGCTTCAGTTTTCTGCCTTCTTCCTTTATTTCACTAACTACTTCCTGCCAACTATATCAGATATCAACGAATTTCTGATAGAAATGGAGCATCTTGAATTTTACCTCTTATATTCTTTGTCTTTGCTTTTGAAGCTGCGAACCGTGTGCACTAATTTCTTCGCAAGCAGTGCAAGAGGAGACGTTTTGGAGCCTGAATCAACATTAATGCAATTGCGCTTATCGCCTCGAGTTAGAGTAACTCAGACAACTGACCGGAACTTCCGCAGAACGTTTGGGAAAGTTTCGCCGGGTCATCCGCGGAAGTTTCGTAGGTGCTGCGGAAGTTCCGAGCAGTGCGAGCCACAACAGCGAAAGAGAACACCTAAGCGAGATGGACCTTACTCTATCGACTGCGAGACTCACCTACTACCCACTGCACTACAGATGACATGTTTGGTAATGCACTCTACGTTGTGGCGAGGCAACATTATACGAGACAACACATTTGAAACCCTGCGGAAGTACTGGCATTTAGAGGCTGCGGAACCGCTGGCATTCTGAGGAAGTTCCGCAGCGCTTTGTAGAAAAGTTCTGCGGGAGTTCTCGTTTTCAACCAGTATGACGTGAAAATCCTGCGGAAGTTCCCATTTTTAACGTTTCCACTTTTGCAGAGTAAACAAAACCGGAACCGCTGCTAATTTGGTGCGCTTTCTGACTGACAAAAAACTCAACGCTGTACTAATGGAAGGACACTTGTTCGGAGTGTTCTCATTGTTCGCCAAAATTAGATATGAAGTTTGCACTTTATCGCAACGCTTCATGGTTAAGTCAGGTAAACCGCAATAATTGTATCTGAAGTGGCCCTAATGTGATTACACCATTTGAAAAACTTTACAAACCCTTGAAAAGCTTAGTTACGAAATTATCGCCCGTGAAAACTCTGGTACATCAATTTTCATATTTTTTGAAAACTTTTTTCGAAACACGACTAATTACAACGACGCTGTAACCTAAAAGTTGGTACCGTAATCCTACAATAATGACAAGCAATCGGTGATTCGCTCCATAATACTCTAAACCTAAGTTGAAGCCAGCTTTGCAAAATGGTAACTGAAGGAAGGCAAAAGTCTTTTGGAGAAGAGTTTGCGATGCAGTGCATATTTTATATGCATATTATACATATTTTTGGGACACCCTGCATATGCTCTTTAAAAAGACGAGCTAAGCTAGGAAGCTTTCTTATAAGTTTGCTGCTCAATTCTATTTTATCAGGCGTGCTCGTAAGAATGGAATCCAGTAATAGACCAGCATTACAGATATTGAATGTTTTGATTGAACGAACCGTCTAAAAGGTTGTAGTTCTTCTTCGCAGTTGGTTTGACAGCCATCCGTCGCCGATTTTCGTAGGGCTTCTCAACAGAGCGTTTTGCTCGCATCTTGAAAGAGCCAACCCAACCATCCTCATTTGGAAAGTACTCTTTCGGTTGCAGACCGTATGTCTGAAAAATTACTTTAAGATAGCTGTTCAGAGTCCCGTTTTAGAGATATTAGAGATAGTCTCATTGAAGAAGGTATCGTCTATTTCATAGACAATTCTCGCTAATGTCAATCTTGTCAATCAGCGCAAAACTGAGAAATGAACTGAAAGATGCAAGATTTCGTAGTCTGTTCGAACCAATTTCAAAAACTCCCTAATTCTCACATCAAAGATTAATTTGTGTTTGCATAAATTTTCACGTTTACAGTCAATTTCGAAGAAAAAGAAAATGCTGCTACAGTAAGATCAAATCAAGAAATACGACTTATTTTACTCTTTTTCTGTTTGTTAGCAATCAGAAAAAGAAATAGTCTCACATTTCATGCTGGAAGTGAGCAATTCATAACTCACCTCCTTAGAATCCAGTTTTCCGCTTGTTTGAGAGTTTGGATATATACGCTGCTGAAATCTTGTTTTCAAAACTTTTCTTCCAAGTTCTTCCTGGACAAAGAACTGTTTCTGATCGAATTTTCGAAATTTTTGTTCTCTTCGTTTCAACATTGCCGCTTTTGCAGCATAAGTTTGTCGCATCCTACCTAAACGAAAGGGTTTTCGACGAGTTGGAGTGAGAGCTCACTTATTCGTTTAGCGTTTCCAAATCTTTCATTCCATTTCTGATATTTGACTTCCGCGTCAAGAAGCGTCACCACACATTTTGCATGGGCTTGCACTGTTGTGGCCCTTTTCGCACAAGTGTGATGAGCTGCTCGCAGATACTCGGGCACACTTTCTAGCCTAAATATCGCTAATGTATGGAACTATGTGATGAAAATGTATTTATTCACTTCTTCGTGGCCACAGCCGCCATCAAACCGGACATAGCCTGATCGAGCCAATGCTGGTAAAGATTCAAACCCGCATCGGTGGATATAGTGATTGTAGTTTTCTTTCCATCAAAGTGAGCAGTGTTCACCTTGGGGTGCTCGTCATCATCTGGCATGTCAGCTATGTCTTCGTCAGTTATCACTTCATCCTGCAAGTCAGAGAAATGTAAAATTGTCGTGAGAAGCGAACTTTCTATACTTTTACACGGTATATTTTTCTCCAAGACTGTCCAAAAAATCTTTTTTGACCAGATAATTCTTCATTGTCATTATATGTTGGATTTTTCTCAAATGATTCTCCTTCTGAAAGCCTTCTTATATTTGTAGTAAGGCTTTTTTAATTTAATTTTGTAGGTTTTGAAGTAATTTATCCCACTGCTTGGTCTTTTGGAGTACTTCTGAAAATACGACAAAAATCTCAACTATCCCTCCATGACGTAAAGGTCTTCCATTAACGATGCACTTTATTATTGTAACCTCGTTTACACCTTTGTCAGAGGAGGGAGACTTACATCATCACAGCTCAGATTTAATATTTTCTTATCGTCATTTGAGTAACATCAAGAAAAAAAGATTTTTGCTAAGATTAAAATAGTGGAAAGGGTCATGAAAAAATACCGCCACTCATTTCCAAGGTTAACTAAGTCATACCTCAGTGCTGTTCTTGCGATTCCTTGCATTGATGGCGGTAGCATTTATGAAAGGTCTGAGTGCTGGTGGATACTTTGCTAAAGCATCTTCTACGTCTGTCGAGTTGTCCAAGTTTGGAAATGGCAGCCGCACAAGGTTTTCCATCCATGGAAAACTCATAACTCTATTAGATTTAGTGTCACATTCAATAAGCACAGCAGCTGAAAAGCGGAGTTTTCAAAAATGTTGTTATTATTAATGGGTTATTTTGAGAGAACCTCACCTGTAAAGCATATGAAGACGCTCTTCATGCTGATAAAACCGAGAGTGCCAAAAGCACTCAGGTACGGACGCAGGTGTTAAATTGAACTGCAAAAAACGAAGGTGCAAATCAGTTACACCATAATGGGTATACCTACATCTTTATATAATAGTGGGTTACGGTAACTATAACTACATCAAGCGCGACATGGGATTACCAAACATGAACGCATTTACATATGGCTCTTATGAGTTCTCTTTCGTTGGACGAAAAAAGTGAGAGCAAAAAGACAGAGTCATTTTCGTTTGATGATCATATTCTGCCTTTCAGGATGTTATCATAAGCCAAAAATTATCAGCAATAAGGTTTGTTTTTCGGTTGCAAGGCATTTGTCCACTTTTTATGATCTCAGAGCATTTTCAAAAAAGGCTTTGCTTTGAGCCATAGCTGCTTTACGAATTATGTAAACCTTTTGAAGCACTTCCTTGAAGCAATGCGGCGATTTTTGACAAGATGAGAAATTAGAATATTCGCTAACAAAATTATTAGGCTATCTACGTCTCTTTGCGACAATTCTGAAGATGACTATCGTTTTACAGATAACGCTGTGAAAAGACTTCCTACTTTTTTCGGATACTGAACAGATAAAAGAAGGCACTAATGTATCCACATGCGGTCATGCTTGTGGACATAGGAAACTACAGCAAAATAAAAATCAGGAAAGTAGGGGACGTTAGAAGTTTCTACTACGTCTTCATATCATATATCACTAATTTAGCCTATTCCCGTCGCTTTCGCGCTCTTCAAGGTAATTTTCGATTTCAGCGTAACGGATAAGCCCAGATAAGCGAAAAGGGAATGTGTTCTGTACACTCAATAACGCGGGCCGTTTGATTTGTCATTTAAACACTAAATTTCTTCAGCATTATAGGTGCTTTATATAGTACTACATTTAGGCCATCAGGGCAAGAGAAATTATCCAAAAAGGTCTTTTCATGATTTATTTTCAAATAGGCAAGAGAACAAAGGAGGCAGCTAGTAGTAAACTGTTATGAGCACAATTAGACTTTTATATTGAAGTACTTCACCTTGAAAGTGGGACGCTCGTTGAGTCATAAAGCCTCTTTGTGAATGACTACAATGACATTTTTTGCAGAGGTAAGGATCCTTATCTTTCAACTCTTTCAGTCTCTACAAAGACTCATTCATCTGGGTCCCGGCGAGATTTCGAGATGAGCTATTTTGCTGGAAAATTTCAGGCATGCATACCGCTGTGTTTCAAATATATAGCAGTGTTTTAAGCTATCCGAACACGCTCTTCATAATCATCTACAAAGATTTGTACTCAATAATGTAGCTAAGTGAAATTGTGAGCAGGATAAGGCACTTGTAGTTTTTCAAACTGGGCAAAAATGATTTCGTTGCAACGAAACCAAAGAGCAAATCGAGCGCTATGGATCCGCATACACACGGTAAAAAGCTGGAAAGTTCTTAGTTTTTTTTTGAGTATTTTCGCTAATGCGTATTCAATCCTACTGTATACATGCACGTATCCGATTTAATGGGTTCAGTGAACTTCTTTGTCTGCAAATCACTCTAAGTTACGGTACTCATTTACTGCCATAAATGAGTCATTAGGATTCAAATTTTGATTTCTCAAAATGCAAACTTGTCGAAGTTCATCAAAGTACAATCAATGAACATGGCAAATGTTATAAATCCAAATTTTAGTGTAGAAACAAATTAAATTCAAATTACACATTAGAGTGCTAGAAATCCAGCTATAATCTTTACATTGACAAAATAAACCAAAATATACGCTCATGACACTTTCGAGGTTGAAAGCTCAAGAAAAGGATGCGAATAGCAAAAGAAAATATACAAGGAATATTTTGAAAGATTTTAAGTCACTATAAAGATTATATTTGTAGAAAATTCCGAGAGCGGCAGGGAAGGAGGGGGGGGGCAGGAGTTCGGAGGAAATTTCAAAGGTGAGAAAAGGTGCAAAAAGCAAGCTTGGTATCTATTTGATAGAGACAAAAGCTGCAACTTACAAGGAAAGGATACTTGGTGACCGTGGCCTTTTGGAGTGAAATGTATGAAAGTAGATGCGCCTTAAAACGCTAATTTCAGAGGCTCTCTAAAAAAAGTTGCCTACTTTTTTTCCCCATTGATTTCACGAGATAAAGGCTGTCAGAATCATCAGTACCCGGGCTTTTCAAACTCTGATATATCAAAGATAGTTTTCCTCAGCTTAACGTAAAGCTTTACTTTAGTTGAACTCTTTTTTGCAGTGCATAAGTGCAAAATTTACAATGCTGTGAATCTTTTCCTCAAAACAGTGCAAATTTCGGTAGCAAGAAGTACACATAACTTCTTTCGGAAGAGCGCCAGATACCGAAAGCAGAACCGGGATCAGCGCATTCAATGGTGTACGTTGCAGATTAAACAGTACAAAGTGCAACGAAAGGTTTCATTTGAAAAACTACGGTCATCAAGTATCCTTTCCTTTTTAGAAAGCTGATGAATTCAAAAGATAATTTCCAAACGGGTAATCTCTAAGGACGTTAGAAGTTATAAAGGGTGCTGAAGCTTGTAAACATCATTACTTTTCACAAATGAGTATACACTCCAGGCATTATTTTAGTGCAACAACAGTATGATTTTTATGAAGACAATAATAGCTTGTGAAGTGAGTGACTCATTAACCTTATTTTCGAATGCTTCTAATCAGACCTAAAAATACAAAGTGCAACGCAAGGTTTTACCCATCCGCATGGACTTTGCTACGGGTAGTAGCCAAACAGAAAAGGTCAATTTTTGAGATTATCAAGGAAATTGATGGGTAGGAATACATGTATAAAAGCTAAAAGGGATTTTGTTTCTGACTGATTGCCTCAAAAGATAGTATCAGTGCAAAGTGAAAGAAAAATCGAAATGATAGACGTATGGATTACCTTTCGCTGTTTAATGATTAGAAGTGAAAGCGATTGGGAACGACTTCACGTAAGGGTAATATTTACGTCAACATAGGTTACAGCGAGAATGTAATGACCGTGTGCGCTGATCGACCGGTTTACCGCGAATGAACAGAGATTTGCAAAGTGCCGCTTCTTTCGGATTCGAGTTTGAGTCCATGGAAAAGACGATTTATAAGTACGTAGATACATCATCATCAGATTGGGAGACAAATATTGTAAGATTGGGGAGAAAAACTCGGTACGAAATACCGCAGCTACCTATTTCTCCTGGCATTGTCATTTCAAAAATTTCATCGATAGCTTCTTCATCGATGGTAAGAACTTTTTAATAGAGTTATTATACTTTAGGGCGAAAGAGAATGTTAGGGAGGACCAGCGAAAGAAGAGTAAACTTATACGCTACATCATACTTTTCTTTTGTAAATCGGTGAATGTCATGCTGCATAAAAAGCGCATTTTAGAGTCTGACTGCCCCATGCTAAAATCCCTTTGCTTTCTCAAGGGGCTGCCTTTCTCTATGAATTTGGTTAAGCTCAGCAATCGTACCGAAAAGTGTACAGAACAATGCCAAGATTCAAGGGAAACCGAATTTTCACCATCTCACTATAAATTCAAAAAATCTCACCGACCATCTCGAAATGTAAAATTTTTCCACTTCTACTCTCTGACGTCGCTTACGAAAGAATTTTTTGGTAAGGGTTCATTTTCGCGCAGCACATAGAAAATACTACAAGGAAGTTCAAACACTGGATGATATAGGCCTTACCACTATCATCACCCAAACCGTCACATCTGTGCCCCTGATTCATCGCAAACTCTTGACCATTAACTTACTGAAGCGTGACAATATCAAATTATTAGCAAATGCAAACATAACTTCTCTGCCTTTACCTATGCTCTCATCTTACTCCTCAGTCGTTATTCTCAAGATAAACCGTGATCATCTACTAACGATTTCAGTACCATTTGTCTCTAACACGCTATAGTAGCTAAGTGATAGCCGATTTTTCAGCACCATACTAGCAGGCTTACGAGGTAGGTAACCAACCGTTGCTGCTTTTTTATACATATAGTACCGAGCTATATTCTTGTTTCAACCGGGGTTCGAGCGAGCATGTTACATGTCCTTGATTGTTCAGGCTCTGGTAAAGGCGAAAGCGCCGCCGAAATTTAGCCGAACTGATATGTATTGCACCACCTAGTTTTCGACGCAAAGCTGAAGATAACGAAATAGGCCAGGGTCTAAACAGGGCCCAGCGGGGGTGGCGCTTTCACAAGCTGGATATCGTTTTTGGCCCGAAAAAGCAAAGTGGAAGTCGTATTTTGGGGTCTGGGGCGGTGCCCCGGACCCCAAAATACAACTTCCCCTTTGTTTACCGATAAACAATGCACATATCATTCTTTATTCATCATTCCTTGTTGATGCTACTGTCCTATGAACTTAGATTCCAGCAATGTGAAGATTCTGTGCTCTGATCGCTAGCCTGCCCGCAGGCGGAAATTCAAATCGCAATTCTTGTAAGAGGAGAATAACAAAATAGGCTCGTTTTCAATACACAAGTAACGATATGGCACCAAATTTGCTGTGTAGTTGGAGGACCATGAGCACAAAAAAAGTATGAAGAATTATGAGAAACTTATGTGAATGTAAAAAATGGTAAGTGTTTTTCGAAATTAGGTGGCTCCCGCGCCACCTGGGAGCCACCTGGGGTGGCTCCTTGCTTCCCTTCACATAATTTCCCGGATTTCTTTACATAAATGTGGACTAGGTCGAGAGTATTACTATATGTTCAAATCCGCTTTCAAAACCACCAAGGCACCGCTTCGATACAGCCCAAATAGGGTTCACAGCGTTATGATCGGCCTCGGAAAGCGCGCTCCAATCGCAATCGGTTATTGTAAATTGTAAAGTTTGGCAGCTGACTAATAAGTGAGTAGTCTTAGATATATAAACGTCAAAGTTTGTGCAAATCTTGACCCTATGTTTTTTTATAGATTCCTTTGCGGATGAACCCATTGAGCTGAAACCTTAATGATCCGGACTGGACCAGAAAAGCCAGGTAGTACTACTATAATAATCGCTGAGGCCGCCCACTTATTATTTGTGTATATCTCTTTGTCAGGGACTTACGGGGGTCAAAAATAGGGTCAAAGGGGAAGTCGTAAGAAATTTTGGCTTCAAAGGGGATATCGTTTTCAAAATTCTGAAATGCCACCTCCTGCCGGGCCCTGGGTCTAAATCGAGCCTGGAATCTTACAATATGTTTAGCACTTTGATTATTCGAGGACTTTTTGTCGTTATCGCCATAGAAATCTTCTATGCAAAAGTGTAGAAAATTTTTGTTTGGGAAACAAGTCGAGGCAAAATTGAGAGACAAATATAAAGCTACGAACGAGATACTCAGCTTAGGGTCAGGCCAGGCTTCCCGACTTACGCAGCCTAGCCGCGGCGCTTCGTTTCAGCTCAGTAGACCAACAGCAGTGGATGAAGTGGATTAAGGGTCAACGGTTAAACTAAAACTGTACCGGTATAATATACCATGCCTTCCTGCCCCACTGTACGGAAGATCAACAGCTAACAAGATTAAGAAGTACGCAAGATTGAGCCTTTACTGTGTGACATGGCAGAGGTGTGAGCGCTGGCATATGCCTAGCGCCGCGAAGTCTTGCCAAAGTATAGTTACGTGCTCAGATAATCGTCTGGGGTAGACGGTCGTGCGATTTCTGGGCAAGCGGGCACGGGAAAAATAGTTCGCTGATTTTTTGCGCTCCGCTTGTAGAAATTTGGGAGAATGTTGGCCAATTTTTGGTCGAATGCTCGAAAAATCGCGGTTTTTCTATAGATCAGTTGCGGCGCAGTGGCCGCATCTCGCGCACTCTCCGCGAGAATATGCAAAATTATTAGAGGCCGCACGGTCTTTTGTGGAGGACCGCGCAGCCCGTAGGTACCTTTCGCTTAAAGAAGGTAGCCAAACTCGGGTATTCAAAGGCAGCGTCCCACCAGACTGGGGGAACTTGGCTCTGGTAATAATGTAATAGTAGACCCCCTAACTAAGCGACGACGGAAGTTTGCAGCACGAAAGGGGGTCTACGAAGTCTACAAATCGCTCTCCAAGTGGCCTGAATCTTACAGTAGGCTCGTGCGAGTACGAAATGCATGCAAGGTAGAGACGCAGAGTCGTTGCGGTACCCTGCGCTAATAGCTGTGTGCGCTATACGCACTCTGGCCTTGCAAATCATATTGCGGTGTAGGCGGCGTCGAGACCTACCATAAGATTCGGGCCACTTTCGGAGCAAATTTCAGCCTTGATAGACCCCCTCTTTCGCTCCGAACTCCACTCATCGCTAGGGGGTCTACTTTACATCGTCACAAAAACCCGGCACCCATCTTTTTGCCGGGACGCTGCCTTTAAACCACCGATGACACCTGCCACATAGAGTCTCACCCTTGCTCGGCATACGCCCGAAATGCGTAAAAAGAGTCCGAGCGCTTGCTGGAAGGTTGGCCAGCGTTCGCTGAAAGAAATTCTTTGCCGAGCGCTCGCAGAAAATGCAGTACTGCTGCCCGCTGGCAGAATATGCGACACTAAAGGAAATACCGCCCGCTGAAGGCTTGATCACTCCCCAAAATTCTGCTGACCGCCTGCAGAAAAGCGCTAGTTTGCGGACAGCCTGCCCCCGGCGATTGTCTGAGTGGGAGGTGCAATAAATCAGCAGCTAAGCAAAATCACCTTCATTGGGCTCTCTATCTAGTTGTGAGATAAGTTAACCAAATTGCTCGAGTTCTTTAAATTGTGTGCAAACTCCGAATATGCTCATGTTTTGGAGTATTCATTGGTATTTCTTGTTTACTGATGTGTGCTGTGCCAGAAGCAAATTTGGTGACATTAGAACAATTATCAGTCATTGTATGGGTTGGAGCGGGAAGGGGGGTAGTGAATGAAATAACCAATATGTAAACATAATTTTATCAAGTGCGGAAGGACGGAAGACTAAGGCGAGAGAGTGTGTGATTTTCGTGAAAGAGTGCGAGGCAGCGATGCACAGAGGTACACGGAAGTCACATAGGATCTGAAGCATTTGGACCGTTAAATCGCTCATTTTATTATGCGAATGTGACAAATCAAAAATGAGGGTCTCAGATAAGGTCAAGATTAACTGACTGGCGACCACTTACACTGCTTAAAAACGCGACATGACCTGACGGGTGAGCGTGCGGACACGTGCCGCGATGATTTTACCTAACTTCCGTAAGAGCAGCGTCGATTGAGATGATATTAAGGAAGTAGTGTGAAGAGGATGAGACGCAGAGAAGTTAAATTTTCTTCTTCATCTCATTGTCTTTCTGTTCAGAAACTGTGGTTTTTCATGAGAATCCAAGCTAAAACATTGTGAATCTGTTTTGTTTACCCATTTACTAAGTGTACTTTTTGATGGCGGTCATTATCGATTTTTTGTTACAGACCGCTATTAATGATACCGTGTCGATGCCGCAATAATCCCGCTAGCCATCTCAAACCACGGCCGCTGGCGTTGTATCGCAATCAGTCATCCATTTGACGATGCCCGAACGTGCAGTGTTGCTGTTTCTTTTTTATAGAAAGATCAACATTCAGATCACTAACTCGCGGAATGCTGGACTGAGCGCCCTACGATCAACACAGGTCGCCTCAAGAGACATGCCCTGACGGGGGGTTTGCTACGGGCCACTGTTGTATCAGGTTGTCTCTTAATCAATGAATATAGAGAACATACCACTGAGAGCAAAACCAGCCTTACAAAATGGCATTTGAACATCTGCGAGCGGTTCGATGCAGTAAAGTCTGAAGGCAGAAAAATCTTCTTCTAAAAAGTTCCGCGAACCTCCAACTTTGTTAAGCATACACTATACCAAGCGCTTAAATATACAGTACCGTAGACATTTTTTTCCATGTCTAAATGTTGAGAAAAGAAAGTGACATCTCAGCAAAAATGCTAGGTCATTCCCAGATACAGCCCAAAACTTGGCTGTTTATGAAATCAACATAATGTTAATGACTGATATGTTCTCTTCAGCTAATACCAAGTTGTAAACTCTTATTTCTCAAGCTTTTTCTCGAAGCCGAGAGACCGTGAAGTGAGCTGGCGGCCGTATGGAGTGCCTCTGGGTCGTTCTGGCGATTTACGTGTGTGTGAAACAACTTTCAAACTGGATTATGAATAAACTGTTAAAAATTTGCGCAGTTTTGATTCCCAGTCGATCAGAGTTTCATTGTCATCCTTATGGGTTGATTTGTCCCTTTATCGTTGATCGTGCTGATCAACATATCGTCGACTCTAAAAAACGTGACGACGGTCTGCAGTGCGGCCAGTGCACGCCGCACGGCTCTGCCGCCTAGTGATTCGCCCAAATTACGTGGAGAAGGTGAGTTCTTGTGGTTTTTCTTTTTCTTTTTGCATCTTTTTTGCTTGCAGGAGCTTTCATGGCTACCGCAGGGAGCCTACACTGCTGAGAAGCAAGATTGCCTTACGTTAAAGTGGCAGTGCCGTGCGGCGCGCACTGGCCGCACTGCAGACCGTCGTCACGATTTTTAGAGTCGACGATATGTTGAAATTGCGAAACGCGATATTGCGAAACTCATATCTCTGCCGGTCAATAACACGGTCGCTTTGTTTATGTGCAATCTTAGGAAAACCACCACACTATTTCGAACTGAAGCCGTTATTTATCTGTTAATCGTGAGCTTGATATCTCGTGTAATTATAGTCGTCCTCACACCACTGTCGGCTCGGTGGGCGAATTCGAATTTGAGCTGGAGCAGGCCGGTTGCGGCGGAGCGCGGCACCTCAGTCCTCATTTCAAACTTTTGCCTACTTTTTTTCGTTCTTTTTTTGCCTTTGATTGGTAATCGTGTATTTTGACAATATTCTCGAATAAAATTGACGTCTTGTTATTGTTGAGCGTTGTTTCTGGCACTGTGCTCGGTTTTTGTTTGAGTGGGCTTTGAAAAACCTTAGAGATGGCTATTGTGACGTACAATTCACCACTATAGCAGCACTTTTGCACTTATTACTTACAAAGAAAGGACTTACAGCAGATGTTTTCCCAACTGTATCTTTTCTCGAAGTTTACCTATATACAGAGTTGAAATTATGAACTTAGCAGAACGAAACAACGCTCAACCACAACAAGATGTTTTATTTTGCTAGCAAACATACTTCACATTACAAAGATTAACAAACAAATAATGAGGATAATGATAAAAAAAACATGCATAAATTCAAACTGACGCCTTAGAGACCTTCGATGGGATGCACTCGGTTTCTGTTCAGTTTCGTGCCGGTGCACTCGACAGAGGATGCTCGCGATGGCCTCGGAGGGTCGAGGACACCACCAACCTTTGCCGGCTGGGGCACATGCCAGGCGCTGCCGCTAGGAAGAGCAGCCACCGCCGGTTCCTCAGTCCGGTCACCGCTGTTCTTCCAGACCGGTGGAGCGGCCACCACCCCGCAGCCACTGAAGGCTGTGGGGACACTGCCGCTCCCCGATGGCAGTATCGCCCCATCCGGAAAAAACTGGTGCAGCGCCCAAGGCAATCCTCAATGCAATCCTTTCAGAATGGCAGAAGTGAAGGAATTGCGAGTGAAAATAGCGGACGTCATGGCTTGTTTGGCTGCAGAAGGCGAATACTTCGTTGTCAGTGAACAACGCCTCTTAAATGTGGTTCAATTGAGCAAGTCTTCGAGTCATGTAAACCTCCCGCAGTTGCAATCATTTACTGCTGATCGCAAAAAGTGAGTTGGAAAAAGTTCCATAACTGCAACTTATCATTTACAGGAGAACCCCCCCCCCCAGAAACCGATGGTGTCTAATGAAGAGAACTATGTTCCAAAAAGAAAGTAAGTTTTAAACTTTGTATTGTTTCTTAATCTCATTGCTAATTGCCATTTTTCAATCTCATCGTTATAGGTACGCTCCACCACCACCACCACCGACAACAAAGGCAAAAGTTGAGCCGACCAGCCAGCCAACCACCGGCCCAAGCAGCGATCTGGAACCAGCGTTCGGTCAATTCATGCGAATGATGACAGAATTGATCAAAAAGGAAACCAAGAAAGAAGATAAGCAGGGCAACGACGCAAAGGAAAACGTATATGAAATATTAAATATTAAATCTATAAAAATATAAATATTAAATTTTGGGTGAATTGATCACATATTCTATTGATCTATCGTATGCAAGAAAATTTTTGTCAGATTGTTTTTTTTTGTAAAGTTGTTTTGTTACTATTGTTGTGTAAGTTCATATATTGTACTGTTTCATAGAAGCAAAGATAAAGGCTTTTTGATTTTGTGGCGTGTTCGAGGGTTGGGAGTCCGGCGAACCTGTACATATATGCTCCCGAAGGGAGCACAGCTAACTTAGTGTATCCCAGGGCGATAACATAACTGCGTGCTGTAGTACAGCACAGTATTTATTTGTTGCATGTCATTCTATTAAAAAATGTAAAAAAAATTGGGAAGTATAAAATCCAGAAAATTGAAAAATACAAAATTCAAGAAATTGGCAAAAGGAGAACCCAAAAATCGTTGACCAGCGGCGATTAGGGAAGGTTGGTGGGACAAACCAAAAAACTGAATAGATTTAATGCCATAATTTCTTACTGATGAGTTCCGGGGAAAGGCTCTAGGACCTATTCAGCCAAACCGTTTAAGGGTAGGAGAAGGTAGGACAACTATCGGCATCGGTTGCCTCTGTCGAGGGCAACCATCGGCTGTTGAAAATCGAACCACTGGCTCAACACCTCAGCCGGCTTGACCATCCGGTCACCTCAGTCGAGGTGGAACCAATGGTTTAAACGACCGTACGGATATGCCAACACTCGGTGAAATCGGAATTTTTAACAGCTGACATGCTAAAAACAGGGAGTTTCCAGGTCTACTCTACTACTGTTCGCAGAGACTGCCCTTGTGCTTTGTTGATCGTCATAGCGAGTGCAGGGCTGACCGGAAACTGCAGTCGCTTGAAGTCGGAGGGAAGGGCATATCGGAGGAACCAAAGGGGTTCATGGAATATGAACGATTTTACCTTTGAACTTCCCCATAATATGGTCGCTTCTATGACGTATGGCATGAGATTTCTCATGCAAAGCCTTGTACTACCGCACATCTTTGGTGGGTTGATGTTACGAAGGAGCATGATTGGTTTAACAACCTTCAGATCAAGTCTGTGAGGTGGTATCCCATTGGGATCGAGTGAATTTACTGCTTACTTCCCCATGGAGTGAAGAACTCCAGTGTAAACAGTCTGTTCACACTGAACCATCATATCAACGGATGTGTAAATTGACACTGGTCCAGGTAGGCTGTTTAAAATCTGAGCATTGATAGAATTCACTTGCTCATTTTTAGGTGCCAGAATTGCTCGTTCGCAAATCTACTCTCCATTGCTGAAGTTGGTGGCAATGCTTGGGAAGACCTTATCTATCAGTTCTCCCACCGATTGAATCATATTGCAGAAGTCTGGAGGAAAGGTAATCTAGCCAGAACTTGGTTTAAAGGCAGTAGATCAGCAGAATGGACCTTTGTCAAATTTTAGTATTGTTAGGTAGTAGACCCCTCGAATACACCGTAGCCCCAATTTCACCCTCCATTTTATGCTCTAACGAGGGAAGGATACTTGGTGACCGTTAGCTTTTGCATTGAGATGTGTACCAGTTGGTGCGTCTTGGAACGCTGATTTCAAATCTATGTTCATTGCCTGCTGTGCGACTCTCTAAACGAAGTTATGGACTTTTTTCCATATTGATTTTGCGAGGTTTAGGCAGTCAAAATCGTCAGTATTCCAGCTTTTTAGACTCTTATGTATCGGTGATAGTTTTCCTGAGTTTAACGTGAAGCTTTACTTTATCTGTACGCTTTTTGGTAGTGGGTAAGCGAACATTCCAACGATATTGGAAGAGAGCGCAGCAGATAAAAACAGATTTAAAATCAGCGCTTCAAGATGCATTTAATAGTGTACGTTTCATTTCGAAAGGCCACGGTCACCAAGTATCCTTTCCTTGTAAGTCCTGTAATAAAGATTCAAAGCCCCGCCCAATTCCATTAGGTGGGCGTTTTTGGTGGAGTTTTGAAACGCTTTCTCACGACTTAGCGCATGAATTGGAGGGTGGGGTCTGGGCTACGATGTGTTCGGGGGGTCTACCACCTAACACTACCAAAACCTGAAAGAGGTCCATTCTGCTGATCCACTGCCTTTAACGGAATACTGCCTTCGCCAAGAAGCAACAGCTATTGCGCAAAGCTTTGAACAGTTTCATCGCCGAGGAGGTGGACTCGTATGTTCGTCGTGAGATTCAGCGATCGAAAAACAAAAAACCGCAAAACAAGTTGTTATGTCTTCAGAGATAAGAAGCTTTGAGGCAAGCATCCACCTCATCTGCTGGAGTCGACCGCGGAATCACTGGCAGAGTTTGACAGAAGTCGCCTGCCAGTAGCACGACGGCCCCACCCATTAAGCTGTACCTTCCTCTTATGTCCTGTAGTGTGCAGTCAAGAGCTTCTAGGGAGTTCTTATGCGCAAAGTCAGAAAGACGATAAAAGCAAGGGATGCTAGTGTGCATGAAATACGCGTTAAACACCTTTAGATATAATTTAAATAAGTTTTTTTGCAGAGGAGAAAAGCGCTGTTAATGTGAAAACATCTTCCGCTTTCACAACTCATATAGTGCAAACTCCCCAACAAATCTCAATCTAACGAAACATGGTCAGTCGAAGAGGGATATAGTGATGAAAGTAAAAATGAATCAGATGTGAAACAGCGTACATAACCCGAGCAACTTTCATTCCTGATGAAGTACTTGCTATGAAGCAGCGAAGCGGCACTTAGTTGGAATGAGCACTTCAAGAGAAGTTGTTTTTACCGCTGCAGGCTAATCGCTAGCGAGACTTTCAACACCGCTCATCAGATGACAAATCTCTACGTGCAAAACATCAAACTACGCGCAAGACTGAGCAGCGTTACAACTTGCCTGTTTCCGATTCATTTCAAAACCTTCACCTCCTTTACCAACACCACGGTAGCGAGAATGTCGACGGGAGCGCTGAGCGCACCTAGGTCATTCTCAGTGTCCTCTTCGTTGGCTTCCTCGTCGTCATAACAGTCATCTTTACAAAATCAAGTGAATTTATGACATAAACAGAACATACGTCGAAGTATTGCATTCTATCGTCACGGAATGAGATTTAGTGGACCCTCAATCAAATATTAGGTTGGCCCAAAAGTTCTGTTGTTTTTTGAAAATTTGTAACTTTGCGCTATCGCAACGGATTTGCACCCTTGTATCAATATTTGAAAAAGTAAGTCTTTCGGTTTTGAATACTTTCCTTCCTAGCTTCCAATACATACTGACTGCAGAGAGAAAAATGCAAAAGGAAGATCATTTAAACTTTGGTCATTTTCAGTTATGTCGCCAAAAACCTGTACCGCTGCGGAAAATTCTGAAAACGTAAGTACATAGGTTTTTTGACCTACTCTTTACAACTGTAAAAAGTTTGTGCTGTTTGGATGATGTGTCTGTAAGGGTCTGCAGGCAATACGTATTGGAAGCTAGGAAGGAGAGTATTCGAAAGCGAAAGATTTATTCTTTCAAATATAATTACAAGGTTGCAAATCCATTGCGATAGCGCAATGTTACAATTTTTCAAAAACGAAACGACAGAACTTTCGCGTCAACCCAATATAAGCTGAGAAGAAAACGAAGCAAGGAAGAAACTCAGCTGCCGCATTTCAACATCACTGCAGCTGTATACAGGAACACATAACTTTGCTCGGAGAGAATCCTGGAACATGTATGAGACAGATGCGAAATCAGCTTTTGAAGGTGCATTGGGCATAGAAGCATTTCAAGATTCACATCTCTTCTAACGGGAAAAAATGAACCATTCTGTTAGAAAGTGCAGGTTACAGGTCATTTTTGCTTTTTTTTCGGATTCAACTGCGGTCTTTGCGCTCACAGGAGCATAAAACGCTCATACTAAAGGGCATCACCTCAAAGCTCAGCTTAATCACTTGTAGTGTCTAGATACTTTGATACGTGAGCAGAAAAACCATTCAAGTAAAGAAGAAAACCAATAAATTGTGGTTGCCGGAACTGCGTGTGTCACGCGCAGTCGCGATCGTCACGATTTTTCGAATGCTCTATACTTGTTGCTTTATTTTGAATTTCGACTAACTTTTTGAGAAACATAAACTCAAGACTTTTTCTCAAAACGTTGAATACAGTTTGATGCAGTTAGTAACTTCATCGCAATCAAAAGTGAACATAACAAAAGTTGTATACCAGAATTCGACCGCTTTTTATTCTGCTCATCTTAGTTTCCCTCACATATTTTTGTTCAAAAACTGGACCTGGAAACTGAAACTGTAACCTATGAAACGTTTGAATGCAAAGAACAAATTAAACACTAATGATGAGCCTTAGTCAGAACAAATTGAAGTTAAAGTTTTACTGCGAATCTTCATCATACAAAACTTCAATTCTAGAAAAATAAGGGTCTTCCTGCCACTTGCTTTCATGAATCAGTGAAACCTATCATGAAACTAAAGCTAAAATTGAAAAGAGTTGCTCATCTATCTATAGGTGCATGTCGAAAAAAGTGTCTTCAAGCAGTGACTCCAAACCTGTCCTACATATTCTTCGAGACTATTTTGAAAAAGTTCGGGTGTGGATGTTAGTTCATGAGGATTCCTTTCCAAATAGATTGACTGCCGAGTCTCGGGTAGCTACCAAATTTTCTTCACGTTGCTCGCGCACTCAATTATCTCCTGCGAGTACAGGCGGCGAGCCTTTTAGTTCCTCCTGCACCGCCGCCGTTTCACAAGTGTCAAAACACTGCACAGCAAGGGACAAGGAGGGGCAACTGATCCTCTACATTCGCTGAAAGGCTGAGGGTAATAGCGAAAAATGCGCTCTGATTGAACATTTGGAGTGATTAAAATCACTTTTGCGACCACGAATGTATGAGATGTATCAATAATGATGGAAGCTTAGATAGCCATATGTACAAGAATCAACGAAAAAGCAGAGATATCTAAGCAGAAGAAAACTTTCGTGAATTTTGCTAGGTCAGATCTCTTAGCGAAAACTCGGAACCATTATGTCAGCAAAGTTCACCTCATTACAGTAA